ATCTAAAGAAAGAAAGTTACCCTCCAAATAGTGTTCTAAACGATCAGAAACGAAAAACAATAAATAAAATACGTAGGCTTTATTTTTGTAATATCCTGATACCAAAACATTCTATTATCTAAAAATTTCATTCAAATTCTCTACTAGCTGATAATATATCTAAATAATACAATAATTAGATAATAGTACGTTTGGATAGCAGAATATTATAAAAATAAATAGTCGGATAAGAGAGTCTCTACTATATACTATAGTATATACTATAGTTGAATTTTCTCCTTAAAATCGAGTAACTTTTATATTTAACATTTTTCTCAAAATTATATTATTTTCGAGATATTTCGATCTAAAAGTTTAAAATGAACAATATATGTTTTCTATAATAAATAATACTACACTGTACAATATAATAATGTCTCTATCACTATTGGAAGATGGAAGATTTTCATTATTTAAATGTTCGTGTCGCATACGCAGTAGGTATATAGGTAACGTTCTAAGCCATGGTACTCGTGGGGTAAGTCGAATCGCGTGGCAAGAGGGGGGAGTCCAGCCGCGGCGAGCGCCGGTTGGTATGGAGGGGGAAGCCAAATGTCGGCAACTCTGAATCTGAACCTGAAGCTTCCTCGCACCCTCTGTCAAAATAAATTGTCAGCTAGAAAGCTATGTGAAATTGCAGCACAGAAATTTGGTTTATATTTTACAGTGTAGTCGACCCTCAATATACAATGTATAATATTTCAGCGTGAGATTGTAGCTAAAAATTGAAAACATTACACAGCAAACATACATACATGCAGTATATAGCAAATTCGCTTCTTGCTACCGTGCTCATATTCGTGAACTATCGGTAATGCTGAGCGCGACTCTACCACAAAATGGTAAGCGGTCTCCATCCTGAGACAGAAAACTCCGCAAGCTTGTGTTTATTATTTCGAATCAACGAATTCGAGAACATTGATAAAATAGAAATTTACATTACCTACATCCGCTACAGTCGCTACTCCATCTGTCAGTGATACGGGTTACTAGTGAAACATTTTCCTTGTACCTCTTCTGAAATTAAATCTGTCTACCAGCTTTAGCATTTTGTCGATAGGTGGACTAAGAAGTTCAAATGTGGCGCTAGATTCAAATTTTGCTTCTGATTCTGTCACCAATTTATCATGTATACGAGAAAATCATCCTATTATATACATAATCATTTTTCTCCCACACCAGGATATCCTAAATATCTCAAAATCATTTATTTTAACTTCTTTATTTACTTTCTTAGTAGCTACTACTATACAAATAAAGAACTTGCTGCACAACTGTTTACT